GAAACTGTTTATATATGTTCTCTTATTATAATACATTATTGGTTTTTATAGTTCAACGATAGGTGCGATAAGAAAAATTTGAAATAGAAAACATAATAAGTAGAAGAATATATTTATTTTAAAATAAACATATTTGTTTTTTCTCGGATATTTTTCAAGCTTTAAATGTTTGCTTTAAATGTTTATTTATTATTAACAAGAACGTTATATCTACCGATCTTCAGTGCGAGCTTCAGTTGCCAATCGTTTAGTTGCCTTATCCGTCAGAGAGTGCCTAGAAGTGCTAATTGAATTCAATTTATTTTATTTAATTCTTATCGGAAGACGATGTTTCATATTCTGGTTAGTATCTTTATTTCTATTTGTTGTATATTATGGGCTAAGGATATTTTAGCAACCTTTTAGGCAATTATAAAAATATTGAGATACGAATGTGAAATATTTTGAATAAATTTAACGATTATTAACAAAGTGGTTTAACGATTATTAACAAAATAGTTTCAACTTAATTTAATTAAATAATATGACATACTTTCTCATGCATGATCACAAATACGCGAAACAAAAGTAATTGTGTCAGTGTGTTGTATGTAACACCAACTGATAATATCCTTATTAAATAGCAATATCAATAAAATAAATACGTATATATTCCTTTCATTAATACTATTATTGAATTAAGATTATATTTTCAAGAGTACACTTTCAATTGCATTTAATATACGTCTTTTTTGTTTTTATTAAAAATCATATATTATAAAATCAATATCACACAAACGAAGTTGCGTTTTCATCTTACTATATTGCCTTCCTTATTTATAATGTGACATAATTCACATATTAAAAATTTTTAATAATCTATCTTTTGATTGTTTTTCTATTAAATCATCATAACAGAAGTGATGGCTGAAGCAGTGGTAGATGAAACAGAACCAGTGCGAGCGTGGTTCCGAAGTGCCGTGCAACATGTTATAAATAGAAAGAGAGAACAAGACTATCCCAACACGTATGGTGAATGGCGTGCGTATCTATATAACAAAGAAATAGAAATATCATCTGCGAGAATTAACCATTTTCGCCGCACAACAAAAATGAGAAACGCCATAACAGAATATATGACTAATCCGGAAAATATCTCGAGTATTCAATCAAGATTTTCAATCAAGATTACCTCTACTCTACTGCAACAAGAAACAGAACGTTATCGTCGTCAAACTGAACGTATGAATTATCCATATGAACGCTTTATTCTCGGAGACATATTTTCGTATGAAGAAGGATTAGCGTTGATAGATATCCTGACATCAGTTCCCGCACAAAATTGCAGATGCCTAGATTGCTCGCTGAGGCGGCTACCGATTTTGGCTTATGAAATGGCCCGAATCATCAGTGGAATAAAAGGAGTACAATATCCGCCTACTTGGGATTTAAGTCGCCAAGCGGGACCAGAATGGTCCCAAAAATTTCAACGAGTGTACGGTCATGAACTAAACTATTTACGATTTCCGTGCTTGAAACCTATCGATCTGTTTGAAATGCACGATGTTCCAAGTACTTCCAGGGATCCGTAGGCATGAAGGAATGATCTGTGAATTTGAAGATTTTATTCTCGACGGATTAAAAGAGAACTGTAAACGAATAGACATCTACCATTCTCAAAAATAAGGAGCCTAAGAACAGAAATAGGTATAATAATTAAAATCAAGCAAAATTAGAGAGAACTACAGTCATGATTTTATCTCAATTCTACTTCAATTTTAAAA